GATGAAGCTTTCGTTAAAGATTATCAGGACCCATTGATTTGTCTGCATCTAATTTCATTAAGTAGTTGAACACGTCAACGGAATCTATCCCGTGTTCCTCTGATGCAGTCAGAGCTGATCCTATGGGGAGTAACGACTCCTGTGTAAAGACTTGGGAGTAGTCTACCATTGCTTCTGCTTTTTCTTGATCTTCTTCGATTGTGTCATTGTCAGTAGTCAAGTTTGGGACACCATTGTATGTTTTATTCCTGAAGTTCATGTACGAGAAAATTTTTTTAGGTTGTGCCTTTGCATTTTGAGTCAGAGGTGCTTCGCACTTCATTCTTGATTGGCGGATTTCTGCAATAACTTTATTCCTAGCAGTGTTATATAATTGCCTGGTCTCAGGAGTCTCAAGTGTGGCAAACAGGTTCCAACATTTGTGTTTGCTTCTGAGTAACTTACGAATCTCTCGGTTTATCCAAGGGGGCAATGTTTCCGACCCTTTGGGACAGACCAAGGGATAAAAGGTTCAGTTACCCGGGCGTAAAGTTGTTTAAGTTGGTCCCATGCGGCTTCTACTTGTGACTCTGGGTTGATGTACCAGTTCACTGAGTTGGCTGATGAGATGACCGCATTTATATCAGCTTTCCAAACGTTTGGTCGAGCTGGGGTTTTGGTCCATTATGCTGTTACTGTGAACTTGAAAGTGAGCACAGCGTGATCACTTCTTCCTAAAGGAGGAAGATGTATGAGATCTACATCCTCAACACGGGAGAATACTAAGTCCATAGTTGATGAGTACTGTGAGTTATAGCGCGTGGGCTTAATGACATGTTGGACTAGGGCTAGCGAAATGCTAGATTCCTGCAGTTCATGATCAAAGTTGTCTGAAGATGGTGTTGTAAGACTTGTCCAGTCAACTGTTTGGGCGTTGAAGTCGCTGACTACAAGACTTTGACATTCCGATGTCCAGAAGGCTAGCTTCTCTATTAGGAAGTCATCTATACTACAGTCAGGATTGCGGTATACAGCAATGAGGTCAATATCTTGGCATATACATTTAAGTCTGCATCGTAGAAGTTTGCATGAGAGCAAGAGCTTCAATGCCACGCACGGTTAAGCATTTCTTGAAGTAGGTGACTGCGCCACCTCATTTGCGGCTTAGTCGGTTCACTCTATGCACTTCGAAGTTTGGCAGGTTAACCTCGTCATCAGTGACATCGGGTGTGAGCGATGTTTCTGTGATAATAATTACTTTCGGAGTTTATCATATTACACAGTTCAGTCCGTTTGTTCAAGAGGCCGTGGGTGTAGCAAACTGTCTATTCAGTTTGGTGCTTCCGCAGATTACCCACAGAGGTTTCGGGATCATCAAACTTTGACAACCCGAAAACCCTTAACCTTAAGGTTTTTTTCGGTTTCGTTCGCTTAATTCTAGGGCTGCAGACTATCTTTTGACACGGTCTGCTAGGCATAAGTCGGCATTGACGTATATGCCTGATCCTTTGAGAGTTCGCGAGTTGCTTAGAATCGCATCCCTCTCTTCTTTTGAGTTTAGTACGACTTTGAGAAGGCGTACCAGCTAATATGCTATCGAGTCAGGCTTTTGGCCGATTCTATATAAGCTGTGTATGGTTATGCTTGATATTGTTTTTGGCAGCAGCTTATCTAAGAGGCGTTTGACTAAGCTAAGGTCGTGTTCGAACCTGATCTTGGGATCAGAAGCCGGTGATTCTTCCACTTCGTGTAGAATGAGCGACCTGTTAGAGAGGTCAGGCTTGCTTGCCATGGCTTTCTTGCTCTACGGCGTAAGTTTCTTTCCGTCTTTCGTGGACGGTGTGGCCATTATGGTGTCCTTTTCTTGCCTTTTGCCGGCGACTACATAACGCAATCCATTGGCGTCCTCCTCGCTAACCGTAGTCGATTGTGTCTGCCTGCTATCCACCGGTGTGGACGAGGTTTGGTCTACAGGTCCGTGGGTGACTTGAGCTGCGGATTTTCGACCCCTGGTACTCCTCCTCTTCGTGCCAGTCTTTCTATTACTGTCACTGGAGGACTTACCCGGTATCGTAGGGGTGTCTGAAATATGTTGGGTGCTCCTGACAGACTCATCAGGAACGTGTATTTTTTGTCGATGACGCTAGTGACGTCATCGGTGTCTGAACAGTAGTTGCTCTTCCCCTGTGGTAGAAGACCCTTGCAGTCCATGAGCTTTAGAGCCTCACTGAGAGTGGCAATGGCTTCCGTCATACGAAACTTAGTCGTACTACAGCAATCATTGAACAGGCAGTTCGCCAGAGGTTTGCAGCAGCGGTTGTATGTTGCAGGAGTTAGGTTTGTGCACATGCTATGAAACCATCTCTTGAAATTATCACACTGCATTCCTTCTTCAATTGGAAATTGGCACATAGTTCTTCCACAGCGGTTCCTTTTGATAGGTATGCTTTTCAGAGTGATTCAGATTCAAGTATGACTTTATATATATGACCTAAACCAGTGATAAAAAAACCAATGAGTGCAGAAAAATGGATAAATATAACTATGGTGTTATAAGAACACAACTTCCTATAATGAAATAGTCTCAAAACTGAAACGTAAACTTCTATCAAAATAAACTGATTTAAAGTTAATCTATAGAATTTTAGAGCGTATAACAACAAAAGCCAAAATTAAACAAGAGCGTGTAAAATCCACTCCTTTTTCAAAGTTCGTGTGGCGAACACAGTTAAACTTAACAGGATAACTGGTGCTTTTGAAGGAAGAGGATTTAGAGGTAGGTTTAAGAACAGTATCGGAAATGTAGACGGATCTCAAAACACTATTATCCATTGTTATCTTTTTAGTAAATTTTGGATATTTAAAATTCTAGCTATAAGGTATTTCTTAAGACAGTAATGTAGCGATGTCATTTCCAAGCAAAGTACTTTATGAAATGAATATTTGGCTAGTTGGAGCCTGTCTCTCGTCCGTCTACTCAAAATCCAGTTTTGAGCAATAGAAAAAGTCGAAAACAACATGTATATCGAATAAATTCCTAACACTTTTGTAGCAATAACATCTTGGTAACTTTTGAAGGGCATTAACATGGAAGTGGTTAGTAAATAACATTTGTACTATCTATTATTGTAAGCCGGTCAGTTTTAGCATGTCTTCAAAAAGATTAGTCATTTTTTTCCTACTTTGAAGTCTAGGTCAATAATCCACAGCTTCGTAATACAATCATGTCAGAAAGAATGATCAATCTACAGCTCTCCGCCAAAGTTCCTCAGTTTGGGTTACCACACCACAAAACAGAATGATAACAGGAAGCGATCAGAAAGAGTTATGTTACAAGTAGGTGTGAGTAGTAAAAGTTAAGGTTCTGTGTGACTGGAGATGTCTCATCCGGGTATGAGTCCCACTACATTAACTTCAGCTTGGGCAACTGGGTAGTATCTTCAGCCTCCTTACAAAAGTGTGGCTCCTGGCTTAGTACATGAAAACGCAGATACGGGTAAAGTGTTTTAACTGACTATCTGTGCGATTATAGTCGCTTTTTGGATGTTGGTGTCTGCAGTGACTCTTACTGTTGCTAAAAAGCTTGAAAAACAACTTACACTTTTGTGCATGACCTAAATTAGTATTATATCTTGGTCTGACTGTCATCAGTGTGTTTCCAACGTCATCTTACTTGGTTTGAATTTACTCATCAAAAAGGTTATAGTTTAGCGTACGTAGCATGCCTTCTAGCCATTTGACACATCATTTTATTTCAGGACACCATTTTTCTAAGCGAATCTTCAATGTATAACTGACTCACTCACGTAGTTGTGATTTTATTTTGTACTTTGTGATAGATATTTCGATCTATCATTTTAACTTGGTGTTTGATCTGTGGTCTAATGTGGATCTGGCTTTTTATCTG